GATCTAAGTGAATGCTTTTTATCCATTTGCATAAAGAGTTGGAATTTCTTTAAAGTGTAGATACTTCTAGCCTATTTCTTTTGACCATAGAAGTTGAGTTGTGTGCTCAACTTCTGAGATTTGCTCCTGTCAGCCTGTTCCTCAGTTGTATAGTATTCACTAATGCTGGGGAAATATCTAATGGGACTTATTTTTCTTGCCAAGCATTTTTCATAGGTAAATATTTCCAGCGTGTGAAGTAGCTTCTTTGTAGGCTAGGGCTACGATGATAGTGATGGAGAGAAAGTGGAGAAATTATTTCTGTAAGTGTTCTTGCTGAGCTGAATTGTATTCTGGCTAACCTTCCAAGTGTGGAGCTGGCAAAACTGAATTGGGATAGAGAAGAATGCATTTGTGCAGAGTAATCTGGGCATTTCATTCTCTCAGTAATTCCTCATTCATCTCCCCCCACCCCCATTTAGGATTCAGATCAGCAAACTGAGCTTCAGGCAGGAGGAAAACATGATGAGGTTTCAGTGTATAAACAGAGGAGAGATTCAGAATTATATTCCCTGAGGTGGGAACAGAAGGAATGAATCTATCTTATTTTTTTCTATGAGAAGAATAGGTATTTAAGTCGCATTATAACTGCTGTTTTTGCTGCAAAAGGCTGATATCTTTTGGAGAACAAGAGTTATTGCCTCCCCCCCCATATTTATTTAAGATCACTATCTAAAGCAATCCTGCCTCTTACCCTTTTGTGTTCACTTGTTTCTATTTCTAACGATTGCAAGTTCTCATAATATTTTAATCCTAAATTTGGGCTAAAGAATTACTGAATGAAAGTCCTTGATTGAGAGCCTGGGAATGGTTACTGGGCCAGTGATGAATGCTTGGGGTCCTCCACCCAGAGTGAGAGTCAAATGGAGGGGTTAGATGAGTTGACCTTCCTCCAGCGGGCCAGTGAGAGGGACCAGTTTAGGAGGGAGGATGCTGGGCATATCTGGGGCAGAGGGGGGGGAGTGGAGAGGTGAGAGCCATGTGGGTGCTGAGACCTTGAGCTTAAGTGCTGTGGGGACTCCCTTCCTCATCTGTCTCCCAAGGACATTCACTCTGAAGGAGTGAATGAGAGCGGCTGGACGGGGATGGCAGAGCTCTTCGCTCTGAGAGGTCAGGATCAGTGGAGGAAGATCACCTCTGGAGACTAAGGGTGGAACAATTTATAAAAGTAGTGACAGGCATGGGTTGCTGCGAGAGCCAGAGGGCAGGCCATTAAAGGGGACGATTCCCCAAATGTTTAGAACTGGTGGACCATATCAATCACAGAATTTAGGCAGCTATGGTCCAGGAGAAGAGCCTTTTCTGCTGTGGTTCCTGCCCTTTGGAACAAGGTGAGATCCACACCCATCCTTTTGGCCTTCAAAAGGAGTTGAAGACCTGGCTCTGCCAACTGACCTGGAGGAGATGCACCCAATGGGGGTGCATCATTCTGGAGATAGTTAATAGACCAAAATGAAGTCCCATCTTCCTCCCAGGTGCATCTTGTTCCCTTCCACCCAATCTTTGTCCATTTTAAATTATTTTGATGTTATTATTTACGGCTTTAATATTTTAACTTTTTATTGGTTATTAATTATTGTTAGATGCTGAGAGTCACCTCCAGGAGAGACAGGCAGCATAGAAGTTGAATAAATAAATAAATAAATAAATTCAAATAACATGCTTTGCTAAAAGAAATCACATTACAAAGTGAAGCTGCCACAATACATATAATATTGGGTGGTTAATGCAAATTCTTCCAGTAGTTTAACCTCACAAATCCCATTCAGGATTTTGAAATAATCAGTTTGGTTTATAGTCTCTTACAAGAAGGGCTCAGCTCTTAAGAGTGGAATTTGTGGAGGGCAACTCTCCCAGTTCATTGGACGAATCCCAAGCCCATTCTTTGAACTCAAAGAACAGCTTCTACCTAGGATGCATGGGACAAGTTGCAAGGTCCAGAATAGAGGGCCCTATTGGTGAATCGCCAGGGACTGCTTTTGTCCCCTCCTCAGAGCTGTTGCAATAAGCTTCTGAATGTTCTTGGAACTGCATAGTTGAGTTCTGTTTTTTAATGATATCTTCTCATTCTTTTTGCCTAAATTTTATAACAGGCTTTTTACTGTATTGCAAATATAATGTCCCTGCAAACAGTGAGATGGGTGATATATTAAACGAACAAACAAATCTTTGTTAACTTGATCTCTTTTCCTAGACGTATCATTTAAATGATGTAATAACTATTCAACTTCTGTGTAGACTTCATGATGATTCATCTCTAACTATGATGCCAGTGGGGCCCTCTGTATGTTTCATAAGCAATATTAGTGTGTGCACTTCATAATAATATGCTTTGTACTTCATTACATACAAGAATTTACAAATCATCCATTCAAGCCAAAATTCTATATTTTGGCCAGTTTCAAGGAAGTTTTGATGATGATGATGATGATGATGATGATGATTGATGATAGTGATGATGATGATAATGGTATCCATTCAAGACCTTAACAACTATTATACTTGGATTTTTTTCCTTATTCAATATCTTCTTATAGTTGACTTCTTTAATATGTTTGTTTTTTTCCATACTTTCAGTGTGTAACAGGCTTAATTGTACAGTTCCATTCTTTTATTTTTATACAGTTTGTTCTGGTTAGTTCAGTCTTTGAAGAGCAATAGGATTTCCCACCCCACTGAAAGTAGCGTAAACCATACCAAGGAAAATCATGCAACCTTGAAATAATCTTCATGGTAATTTTCAACAAGGACATCCATTCACTACTCTTTTGCTGTATTTTGTGCAGTTATTTGGCATGTGTTGAACTTCAGTTCAAGTTATTATACTTTCTTGGGGAGATATTCTATAGCCTGGGAGATATACAAGGGAAGACTCCCTCCTGTCTATCCAAGAAGTAGGCCATCTGGCAGAGATATGTTGAAAAAGATCTCTGCTGATCTGAGGAATTAGAGAGCTTTGGAGTAGTAAAGGCAGTCCCTTAGGTAATTGGGCTCTAAGCCATTTAGGACTTCAAAAGTCAACAGAAGCACTTTAAACTGTGGCCAGTAAGCAAATGGCAGCCAGTGTAGATCTTTCAATAACAGGCAACATATGATCCCTATCCCTTGCATTCTGAACATGCCAGGTGTCACCGTTTGCACCGAGTGATATGAGAAATGCACTGCAGTAATCAAGATGTGCTGTGAATAATCATTGCTGAAATCAGAAGCAGGTCACAATTGGCACACTTGTACCTGTAATTGTGCACACATTTTGATTTTTTACAGCCATCACTTGCAAATGCAGCGACCTTCAAGGATCAAAAACATTTCCACACACCATCTTTTGAAATAATCTCTAAAGTGTTGTACGGTTTCTCCTTCTGTCTCAGCATTTAAGAAATCAATGTGCCTCTTCTAAACACATTGCTGACCATTATTGTTCAACTAGGATACTTATGGGACTAGTATGCATGTATTCACTTGTCTCTAATTAGACAGAGTTGTTGGCTGCTAGTACTTTACTGCCTCTTTGCAATGATGTGGGTTGTGATTTTCTCGCCTTCATGTATATTTTGTAGAGCTACAAGGAATATATTTTTGCTTAGTAACATGAGCTATTAAGAATATAAAGAATTGGGGCTAAGATGGCCTCTTTTCTTCTCAAATACACTCATATTGCCTTGCCTTTCCCCTAAATACAGGTTAACTCTGGAAAGCTATAGATAGACCTCCGCTATTTGGGCTGGCTGCTGATTGCACTCCCTCCCTTCTCCTCTGCTGGAGACAGTATCGAGGACAATTATCCAAGCTGCATAAAAACTGTTTCCCTGTAATGAGTTGAACTCTTTGTACTGTGACAAACTGCCCAGCTGCTCTGACTTCATCCCTTCTCTTTTCTACCTCCATCTGCACCTTTTCCATTCCATTTTTTTGTGTATGTGTGTCTTCTTTTTCCTTCCCCTTTTGCACCTCTGCTATTTAGTGAGAGGAAAGGGATAAACAGTCCAGTCAAGGAGTTAAAATGCATAAAACAGACTCTTTTCGTCCTCCTTAAATCATACTACAGGTGGTTGGGCTTTTTCATGATGAAAGCCAGTAGTGGAATTCAATTTTTTTTTACTACTAGTTCTGTGAGTGTGGCTTGGTGGGCGTGGCAGGGAAAGGATACTGCAAAATCTCCATTCCCACCCCACTCCAGGGGGAAGGATACTGCAAAATCCCCATTCCCTCCCCACTCCTGGGAGAAGGATACTGCAAAATCCCCATTCCCTCCCCACTCCTGGGGGAAGGATATTGCAAAATCTCCATTCCCACCCCACTCTGGGGCCAGCCAGAGGTGGTATTTGCCGGTTCTCCGAACTACTCAAAATTTTCACTACCAGTTCTCCAGGACCTGTCAGAACCTGCTGAATTTCATCCCTGATGGAAGCGTACTACTTGTTCTGAGAGTCCTGGTGGTGACCTTGCCCTTTGGCATGCTATGGCTCAGTCCATATCAAGAAAGCTCACAGAGTTTTGTAAAATGGAGGGTCCAAACAGAAACTGAACAGCTGTCAAGCATCAGGTTTTGAGGGGTGGGCCTTGCGTCCACTTCTTTTTGCTGCATATTTTTGAATAGCCTTAAGGAATATGTCGGGGGAACTGGAAACACTCATGACTAACCAAACATTTTAAAGTCTGCACATGCTGTAGGTGTCAGCCCCTACCGATATGTTTTTAGGGATGATGCAGGTGCAGTGCAGACATTGCAAACAAGAACATTGACCTGGGGTTCTTCTAGTGGGGAGAGCTGCCTGCTTTTTTTCTGAAATGTGCTTTCTATCCTAATGATCCAATTCAGGAAGCTTCCTGATTACACCATTATATCTCAAAGACTTGGAAGAGGATATATGGAAGGATACAGTATACAATTTGGAGAAAAGGTTTCAAGCAAAGTTTCAAACGGTTTCAAACCCCCCACCCTTCTTTTCTCTCTGCAGGTGCATCTGCGTTCTGCAGAACGTCTCCGAGATTTATGCTGTGCCAACCGAGGTACCTTCATCAAAGTAGGACAGCATCTGGGGGCTCTTGATTACCTCTTGCCTGAGGAGTACACCCGCACCCTCAAGATTTTGCACAGCCAAGCTCCTCAGAGCAGCAGGCAGGAAATCGAGCAAGTGATCCAGGAGGACCTAGGCAAAGGGGTATGTCAGGCAATCGGCCTTTGTTGGCTGTCATTCAAGCAAGACAGCAGAATGTAGTTTGATTAGTCTTAGGGGCCTGCTTAGTGGTTTTCTATTAAAAAAGACACAGTTATACATAACAGTTATACATTTTCTGCTTCTTTTCACCCCCTGCAGGTTACAAGCATTTTCCTCAACACAAAATAGTACTTCCGCTGCAGAAATACTCCCATATTGTTTTTGTGTGTGTGTTTTGTCTTTTTTTTTTTTTCTCTTCAGTGCTCAAAATGAACTATCGGGTCTTTTAAAACGCCGGCTCTTTTTTCTAGTTCTCTTCTGTTTTGATTGCTTGTATTGTGTTCAGTGGGTGATTGTCACTGAAAATCTGTTAAAGCTTGCACAATTGTCAGCGACAGGGTAAACTGACTGCATTATTTTGTATATATTAACTTAGTGGGTTTTCTCTCACCCCCCAAAATTCATTTCAGGAGGTCAGGGGGGCATGTCTTATTAAGGCTAGCTGTAGGAGTTTTCTGTTCAAGATCAACAGTATTTACTGCAAACAGTGGTATTAAAGCCTGTATTGTAAAAGTCCAGTTAGTTCAAAAGGATCCAGGAGTGAATTGCTGAATCTGGAATGTAGAATAGATGAGTGGCATAAATAGAACAAAAAAGGAAAGACTGTCAGGAATCCAATTACTTGATAAGACTGATGCCAATTTGGGGTCACATTGTGTCCTTAAGTTAAATTCAAAGAAGTGATCTGATTGGCAGCAGTTTTAACAATTGTCCCACAGTGAATTGAATGAGAGCATAGTTCATAGGCTGTAGAATGTGCTTAATGCAGTTGTGGGACAAGTGAGCCAGCTTGATCTAGTGGTTAAAGTGTTGATCTAGAAACCAAGGCACTGTGATTTCTAGTCCCACTGTAGACATGAAAGCTGGGTGGGTGACTTTGGGTCAATCATTCTCTCTCAGCCCAGCTCATCTCACAGGACTGTTGTGGAGAAAATAAGAGGAAGAAGGAGCACTAGATTTGTTTGCCACCTGGAGTTATTTTAAATAATAAAGGCAAAATAAGAAAAACAGATTTAGAGGCATAGGAGGATCATTGGGAGATATACAAAAGGTAGGCAAAACAATCTCACAGGCTGCAATGCAGTAAAAATGATCTGGCCTGGCTAATCATGGCAGACCTTCTGCCTAACTAGCACAGAATGGCTTGTGGCCCTTTAAGACTGAGCTGCCAAGCTTTCTTTTGCTACAGCAGGATTCTGTCTGAGAGCAGTTCGAATCCCAGAAGCAACTATTTTAGAAAGGGACATAGTTGCAACAAAGCAGGATTCAGAGACACTGACATTTATTACTCCTATCATATCATCATCACCATATTATCTTCCCTTTCCAAGTGTACCAGAAGTTCTCTGCTCTCAGGCCTGGAGTTAAGGTGCATGTGAAGCCTCTGTCATGTTTTTTTTAAATGTCCAGGCAGTTATGTTTTGTTATATTTTTAATTGTGTTTTACTTATGCGTATGACATTGTGTAAACTGCACAGATTCTTTTTGGAATCAGACAGTCCTTACAAATGTAGTAAATAAATAAATTAGTACAGCGCAGACAGAACAGGCCTCCAAAATGTTAGCGACCTCACTGGGGAAAACACTTTGGCTGAAGTGATTTTCAGATCTGGCAGCTCATAAAGTTCAAGACAGATTTCTCATAGAGGAAGTAGAAAATGCAGGTGAAGCCCTTGCTTCCTTATAAACTCTTCAAAGAGACAGTGATCTCCCTTTTAAATACCTGTTAGCTAAGAGACCGTCATGGCTTGGACATTTGACAAGCATGCCTATTTTGCTCAATCACTGTCAGTTCAGATTCCTGACTTTCAGTGTTTGGAAAGTTCTTTTGCAGAGAGAAATACATCTTTTTGGAAAGTACTCTCATTTTATGTACCTCTGACCTAGACTTTATAAGCAGAACATCGTAGAAATAACTCTGCTGGTTCTTGCCAAATTTATCATAGTCCAACTTTTTGCTTCTTATGTGATCAACAGCTTCCCATCACTGTTTCCTTGCAAACAGTATTATGCTGTCTTTAACTAAGAGGTAACATTGGGTCTTGCAGCCCAATAGTCCTGTCCTTCAGAAACTTATCCCTGTTTAAGTCATGAAGTAAGTTGCTATCACTACACTTTGTGGTAACAAATTCCACAGATTAATTATATATTGTGTGAAGAATTTCTTTCTGTTGCCTCTTCTAAACCTACTTCCAATCATTTTGGATGATATCTCGACCTAGAATGTGAGAGAAAAACTTTTCCATATCTACATGTTCTAAGCATGCATAATTTTATATACCTCAGTCCAGGGATGGGTTCTACTTACCTTTACTACAGGTTCACAGCGGGGCCACGCTCGCTTCGCTCGCACGCACGCGTGCTCTTCTGCGCATTCACAGAAGCATTTTGATGAAATCGGAGTCGGTGGGCGGAGCGTCCCGCTGGTTTTACTACCGGTTCTATAGAACCGGTGCGAACCGGGGGCAACCCACTACTGCCTCAGTCATGTCCCTATCTCAATTCTAAATTAAACTCCTCAAACTTCTAGCTCTTTTTCCAGAGAAAGTGTTCTAGACCCTGAACAAATTGGCTGCCATCTTCTGCACAAGCCTCATCTCACCTCAGTTTTGCCAAATGACTCCTACTGAAAGTTGTTTCCTTCAGGACTTTCTCCGCATCCCATCAGAAAACAGAGCAAATGCAGATGAAATTCTAGACTCATAAAACATGGGAATAAGAAGCAGCAGTCGGGCAACACGTATTATCTCTGACAAAGCCATTGAGCTTTCTTCCCCATGAAGAGCAGCTTCAGCTAAAAGCAGCAGAACAGTTGCTGTTGGCAGAAAGCTATTCATGGGCAGTTTGTGCTGCTTCTCACTGCACTTTACCATTTCCAGATAAGCATTGTCAGCCCTTTACATTTGCACGCTCCTTAATTAACCCCTAAGTGAAAAATAAATAAATCCCTGTAATAACAACATAAATCGTTGCTGCCTTTCACACTGAAGCCATTTGGTGTCAAAAAAGCTGTGTCATTGTTAACTCTTTGGAACTGGGAATTACATTGGCTTTCAGGCACTCTTTTCTTCCTCTATTCTCCTCTTCAGTGAGGGTCATATTCCAAGTCTTTAATATAGTTTAGGAAAGGTTGTACATAAACCAGCAGCAGGAATAACTAAAGAGAACCAGAGTAAGTGCCCAAAAGTGGAAGCATTTTCTATATTTGGAGGAATACAGTTTGTGTGATAATTAGAAGACATTTGTGTGCACTGAATTCATGCGTTAAAATATGCAATGCATCTGTGTCATGCAAGTGAAACTTCATTCAGTGGCTCTATCCCATAATATATAAATCTCAAATAAGTCAACCATGTTCTAGCCCTCCTGCTGGGCAATCCTAGCCTTCTGGTTTAGTTGTCATGCAGCTCAAGAAATTGAGTTATTTCCATAACTTTGTAAGCCACCCAGAGTCATCCTATAGTGGAGATGGCCATGGATAAGTATGTTGTGTAAACACAACTTGTATTATTCAGGCCACCCACCAAATGGCTTCCATCTTAACCTATGATGGTACATAAAGAAAGCAGCTATATTAGCAAGCAGCGTTTAGTTTTGTTTAGCTCTGCTCATAGGCCTTTGACTGAACAGGGACCTTTTCCTTCTGGGATGAATACATTTTCAGCTGCCATTGAGCCATCCCAGTCTTTTTCAGCATTTCAAGAATCAAAAAGAGCCCTCCATGCCTCATTAGTTCCCAGTGAGGAAGCCTGAATCTCTTCTCAGCCATAGATTTTCTTCTTTGCATTCCTTCACTCTCATGGTCCATGCCAGATAGATATTTAGTTTTAAAGAAATGGAAAGAAAACAATAAAAGATCGGGAAGAAAATAAATGGGAAAGGAAAGAATGAATAAGCAAAAAGAGACAAGGCACAAAGGAGATGGATTATGGTTTTGAATTGTTATAAGATGAAATGACTTTGGTATTTCTCTGACAGATTTTGTTTGGAAGATGAAATGCAAAGTATTTCCTATCTGTTGATCATTGAATACACCTCAATAATGTTTTTTAATAATCTGGATCATAAAATATTTCAATATTCTTCAATTTTGGGGGGAAGATCATCTGAATCATAAATTATTTCAAAAATATAATTCAGATACCTGCTGTAGTAGCAGTCCTCAAGTAAGCCTTTTTTGGGCACATGGTATCAAAATTGCTATTGTTGATGAAGCTTAGTTTCCTGAAAATAACTGGCTGTATCTCCTAATGTTTTGATATTATTTCCAGTGTTTTTAACACCTATCTACCGAATATATTTTTCACCTGAAAGCTGAAGTGTTTCCAGACAGGAATGTCAAAGGCTGAATGCCTGGTACTTTAACTACTAGACCAAACTGGCTCATCATACAATAGCACCATAAGGATAAAAATAAATAAAGCCATATATATGCAAATATATCTCAACACTCAAAGTAAACCTTTCTATGGGGTCAGATAGAAAAGTCAGATTAGGGATTCTTTTCAAAATGAACAAACTTTTATACAAATATAGATGTAGATATTAAGGAGAAACTTCTTGGCTCAAACTTTTATTCATAAAAAACCCAAAAACAGTTCCTGATTCTGATGTGAATGCAAATCTTCATTCTTATCAAATATTCTCTCCATCCAATTCAGTACAGCATGAATAGGTATAATATTTTAGTTGGGGGATAATGGGAGTTGATGTGGAATACATCTAGAGAGTGTCAGTTTGGGACAGACTATGATAAATGTTTATTGGGTCCTTATCAGGTATGTAAAAAGACTCTGTCACATGGATCTTCCTTGTTCGATCAAGACTCTGTTCTTCAGTGAAAGTCAATTCAATTACCTTATCACTAAATTAGTATCATTAATACTGTCATGTAGGAAAAAGGGAGTTTTTAAGATATATTTAGAAGATCAAGTGCTTGTAGC